ATCTGACATCATGAGAACCTAAACTTTAATACAATTATTTGTTATATACTAGGCCTAATTCGAAATTATTATTTTAAGACTTTAACATAATAGCAGCTACATACTGATTAATAATAGCTGAGATTTGATGCACATTTTAGAATTAATAATCGTTTTTATTATATCTTCCTGAATATTTATTGTCTGCCAAATAAAATATGAATTATATGCATCTTTAGAAATACAATTTCTACAATATTTTAACCTTGTTTTTATATAGATAAATGTTCGATAAATTCTATCTTTCATAAAAAAAAAAACGAAATTCAGCGCGTCTATTTTCATTCTAATCAATGGAAACGTGCACTGACGTCATCGTCGAATTCCAGGACTTTCGACGGTAAGGCTGGCCTGCCTACCCCGGTCCCAGGCCAACCAATAATAATTAACAAAATGTTTTTTTGTTTGTTTTTTTAATATAGGCCTATGGCGCATTTTGTATATGCACTTCAACTTTTACAACAAAAGCCATAGGCCTAGTACGTCCTACTGTACTTAGGCCTACCATAGAGAAAATAGAACAGTATAAATAGTTCTATTTTCTCTATAGGCCTACACTAGTTTGTTGTCGTCGTGGTATAATTCTGTATCTAATGAACGAATGAACCCAGCTAGTCAACATCTAGGCTAGGCTAATTGATTTTAAAATCAATAACCCACCAGTTATTCTACAACGTTTAATGATTCTTTATCACTGAAAATTAACAAACACTCGTTTTGACGCACTCCGTTCTGTAGTGTGGGCTGTTGAAAACAAACTTCCTAGCCTAATTTTGTGACTGGCTATGATGACGGAGGTGGACTATGTTGATTTATTAATAATATTTTGTTTGGGATGAAAAAAGGGAGAGTCCATTTCCCCAAAATGCTCCATCAGCACATAGTTTAGTGTGCGCTATGGACAGTATGGCTATGGAATTTACTAACCACACAATCCACAATTAGGTAATTAAGTCGCAAAACTTTATCTGCATTTAGTGGATTAAGTCGCAAAACTTTAGCTTCGTTTGGTGGCACCATTTACTCTAGGTAGACGACGACCGGTTTCGTTACCGGTTGGTACATTTCTTACAAACATTCAGCCAAAGGCCAGTGAAAG